ACACACACACACACACACACACACACACACACACACACACACACACACACACACACACACACACACACAATCTGGTGCAGCTATCTTTATCAGGCCATAGCATTGACTTCCATTATTTTCTACAGCCTAACCCTGACCACCAACCCAAACCCTACCTACCTGACCCTAAGACTAACCTAAACTCAATTCACACCTTAGTCCTAAACTTAACCCCCGACCCACCAACGGCATTTCCCCTCATGGGGATCAGGTCCCCACAAGTGTGTAGGCCAAAACGTAGGGAATACCATTGCACGCACGCACACACACACACACACACACACACACACACACACACACACACACACACAGGTTCGCCCAGATATACATTTGGGGACATTCCATTGACTTCCATTACATTTCTACAGCCTAACCCTGACCACAAACCCTAAGGCTAACCTCACAGGTACCTGCCTGACCCTAAAACTAACCTAAACTCAATTCACATCTTGGTCCTAAACCCAACCCTCAACCCACCAATGGCATTTACACCAAATGGGGACTCGACTTTTGTCCCCAAATGCACCAGTTGTCCCCAAATGTAGGATTTTTGTCTTAAAATTGCCCACAAATATCACCAAAGCCGAACCCCCCCCCCACACACACACACACTTGTATTTCTATCTTCATTAGGACTGTGTGTTGACTTTCAGTCTTTTCTAAAGCCTAACCCTAAACCTAACAACCCACCAGTACATAGCTAACCCTAACCCCCCACTGAACACTTGAGACTGGAACAATGGTTTACCTTTCAGCACAACAAGGAATCTAAGCATATTTAAGCTAGATGACTTGTGAGCAATATTTAGACTTAAACTCCTTCAAACAAATGTAAAGAGTCCAGAACAGGAAGGTTCAGAAGTTTACATCCTAAAGGACAGAGTCAAAGAATCCATTTATTTAATGTTATGGTTTCTGGTGAGGTAGGATCTAAATGCAGGCCCAAGAACAGAAACTGAGATTTAAGTACAGGAAGGCAATCAGAAACAGGTGTGAAAAGAGATCCCATTAGATTACTCAGACAGATAATTAAATTCTGATTCAAAAAAGAGGAGGGTGAAGAAAAGGTGACAGCTCTGGGTGCACTCATGGTTGTAAAAACAAGTACTTGTACCACACATTTTGCCTGCAATCTTTGAACACTAACATGGTTTTGGTGGTGAAAGTGTTAAAACATCTGGTTTCTTTCAGGGTCTTTTCATTTTAGAATCACGGAATGTGTTTTTACTTTTTTGTTCATTTAATAGGGGGCACAAAAAAGATAAAAACAAGTTATCTGAAGTGCTGTGCTAAATGGTGTCAGGTTTAAACATAGCTTGACCCAGGGCACAGGCAGAGTTCGGGTGAAGAAAAACCAAGTCTTTATTAAATCAAAAAAGCTGACGAGGCAACTGAGAAAACTCACTAGACGAGACGTGGCAAAAAACTTCAAGGACAAGAAAAACCAAACAAGCTGCACAGCACAATGATCTGACACAGTCTGAACACAGGACACAAAATATAAAGATAAACTAATGAGGACAAACAAGAAACACCTGGAGGAGACACAAGGGGAAACAGGTGAGCGGTGGGGCAGCAGAGCAGAGAACACCGGAACACTGAATCACTTGAAAAACCAAGGCATAAAAACACAGACCATGACAGTATCTCCCCCTTAACGACAGCTCCAGACGTCAACAAGGAGAGGCGCGGGACAAGGGGAGACACATGACAAAACAGACTTGAAGACAAAACACGAAAGTTTAGAGGGACGGCCAGGAAACCATCCAAAATGGGGCTGAGCAGGAACAGGGATGGAGCCACAGGAGGAGGCAGAAGTCAACGTGGAGCCAAGGGAGGAGGCGGGAGCAGACATGGAGCCAAGGGAGGAGGCGGGAGCAGACGTGGAGCCAAGGGAGGAGGCGGGAGCAGACATGGAGCCAAGGGAGGAGGCGGGAGCAGACGTGGAGCCAAGGGAGGAGGCGGGAGCAGACGTGGAACCAAGGGAGGAGTCGGGAGCAGACATGGAGCCAAGGGAGGAGGCGGGAGCAGACGTGGAGCCAAGGGAGGAGGCGGGAGCAGACGTGGAGCCAGGGGAGGAGGTGGGAGGTGATGAGGAGCCGGCGGAGGTTGAGGGAGCCAGAGATTCGATGACGGTAACCAAAGGTGACAGAGGAGATGAAGGGGTGATGGGCGACGACCCAGGCGACATGGAGGCGACGGCAGCCGACCCAGGAACCTCGAGGACCGCCGAACCAGGAATCGCCAACCCAAGAACCAGAACTGGAACCGCCAACTCAGGAACTGGGACTGGAACCGCCAACTCAGGAACTGGGACCAGAACTCCAATTCAGGAAGTGGGACCAGAACCGCCAACTCAGGAACTGGGACCGGAACCGCCAATTCAGGAACTGGGACCAGAACCACCAACTCAGGAACTCCAGATGAACCAGAAGACTCAGTAGACTCAGATGACTCAGATGACCCAGGTGACTCAGATGACCCAGGTGACTCGGATGACCGAGATGACTCAGAAGCAGGAACAGCCGGTTCGGGCAGCAAAATCTCAGGAACACTTAACAACCGGCACAGGACCAGAGAAGGGGTGGGAGGGTGGGTGCATGATGGCTCAGCCAGAACCCCCTGAGCAAACAGGAGGAGCCGCTGATGGCCTGGCAGAAGCAGCAGATCAGGGCGACCCACCAGAACGCGCTCGATCTGCCAGTAGAGTAGCTGTCTTATCAGTGAGCGTGGAGGTCCACCTGAGGATCTTCACTGATCCTCCGATGAGAGAGGATGTCACCTGTTCCTCCCAGGGTGGCAAAGACGGGACTGGCTCCTCAGGGGCAGAAAGAGGATGACCAGCTGCAGAGCGCTCAGGTGAAGCCGGTGGACTCCGGTGACGAGAGGTGAGAGACTGAAGCACCGAGGGGCGGCGAGACAAAATGTCCAACTCCTCTCTGGGAAAACCCGAAAATGAGGTGCCTGTGGGCAGGGTGCTTGGTCGGATTATTCTGTCAGGTTTAGACATGAATTGACCCAGGGCACAGGCAGAGTTGGGGTGCAGAAAAACAAAGTCTTTATTAAATCATAAAAGCCAATGAGGCAGCTGAGAAAACTCACTAGATGAGACGTGGCAAAAAACTTCAAGGACATGAAAAACCAAACAAGCTACACAGAACAATGATCTGACGCGGACTGAACACAGGACACAAACTATAAAGACAAACTAATGAGGACAAACAAGAAACACCTGGAGGAGACACAAGGGAAACAGGTGAGCGTGGGCGGGACAGCAGAGCAGAGAACACAGGGGAACACTGAAACACTAGAAAAACCAAGGCATAAAAACACAGATCATGACAAGTGGCAGCTTATGTAATGTAATTGTTCCCCACTCAGGGTGCCATCTCATTGGGGACATCCTGATTGTGTCATATGTGCATTGTCCTAAACTGGGGTGTGTACAGTAAGTGTGTGTGTGTCTGTGCTTCTAGACTGGTGAAGGTGTGAAGGACTCACGGAAAGGAATGTGTGCAAATCATTTGAGCTCCATAGCAGGTTTTCTCAAGGTGAGTCTGATCAAATGGTGAGAAAAAGCAAATGTTTGTCACAACTGAACCCTCACTCTCAAACTTTAAATAAGTCCCATTTTGTTCTCCCTCTTAAACCTTAATGTATTATGTTGACAGGGAGCCCATGTAACTATAAACGCTCGCTCGGAGGAAGACGTGGAGCCAGAAACCATCTTGGCAAAAGTGGCCAAAGCGTCTGGAGCCGACTTCAACTTTCACAAACAAACACCTTACATAGAGCCGCCCAAAGGACCTGTGGTGAGACGATCACTCTACATGAAATAATTTATAAAGGAGTACTACCAAATAGATAACTATGTATTACACTACCAAGCCAAAGTTTTCTTTAATATTTGTTTCTAGGTACAAGAATGACAAAAGCTTAAGAATGAAACTACGTTTGGATCTAAATTCACGTCTGTTAATGTGATGACAGTGATGAAAATAAATAATTTAAGTTTTAAGTGAACAAAAAGGATGTACAGTGATCTAATAATTGCATTGCTGTCACGACTTGGTGGTGAGGAGAACCCAAAATGCAGGCAGGCAGGCAGACCAAACTTAAAGTAATTAAAAAGACTTTAATAAACAAAAAAGGCCAACGTGGTGGCAAGCTAACAAAACAAAGAAACAAAACAAAACTTGGAGCATGAGCATGAGCATGGGTAAGTAAATGAACAGACGCTGAAGTGGTGAAGAGAAGATCCTTAAATACAAACAGGGCTGAGTGGAAGTTGGAAACAGCTGGGTGATTACAATTAAAGACAGATGAGTGTGGCAGGCTGGAAAAATACAAAGAAGCTGACTGAGGTAAACATGGCACAGGAAACTGAAAACAGGAAATGAGAAAATAAGACAATACCAAAACAATCTGAAAAATACTACCAGAAAATAACCAAAACACAAGAATCATAACATAACACACAAGAATCATGACAATTGCACAATCTTATACATATAATAAGTTTTTAAACAAAATTCACAGCTTTGCTTCTGTTCATCCAACAGGGCTCTGTGTATCAAAAGGTCAATGCAGTGAAGGAAATTCAACAAGTCAACAAGGACGACTTCTGGGTCCAGGCTCAGGTTTCTACTCACACAGAAGCTGCAATCCAAATCAAACCCACCCTCAAAAACCAAAATCTGTTTTGTGTGAGCCTGATCAATTTTTTCACTGCATTTGATTTTTTTTCCAGATTGCTGAAGAAGTGCGTCTGAAGGAGGAGAACAAGAGAGCAGAGCAGGAGAAAGAGAAACGGGAGAGGGAGAGGAGGGAGCTGGATGACAAACAGGCCAAGGAGAGGGAGAGGTTAGCAAAGGAGAGAGCTCAGCAGATCGAACAGGAGAAGTGAGTGAAACATACTGCAAGTACGGTAAACCCACGACAGGTGACAAAAACTGAGGCGTCGTGTTTGTGCTTGAATGACAGGGTGCTTCAGAAAAAGAGGGAGGAGGAGACAAGAGAAAGGGAGCAACGGCAACAGGTGAAGGAAGAAAAAAATGTCAGCACGTTTCCAGATTGTTTAAAGTGATGTATCAGACAAAGGTCTGACGCCCCACTGCAACTCAGAAACTGGTCTGACACTGATTAGTAAGTGATAAAAATAGGTTATATTAGGGTTTTTTTAGGTCAGAAATTGAAAAAGTGAACCGAACTTCACCTGGAGTTCCAGTGTCTACCAGTGTTATGAGAACATGTTAATCCATGCAAATATTGTGTCTTTTTATCTTACTTTTACCCAAGAAATACCCAAGAAAACACAAGTATTTTATTCGTGACAAACACGTAGAGAAATCCATATTGTAAGACTGGCCGAAGCAGATGAAACTTGAGTTATGGCTGTTCAAATAGATATCAGTCAGATATAATGTCAGTCTTTGAGGTATTTCTGTGAAGTCAATAACCTACAACAATGTCAAAACCAAAATGTCTTAAAAATTTGAATGAAGTCACTGAATCTGAAGAAAGATAAGAAAAAAAATGACACTAAAGACCCACAACAAACAGCTCCAACTACAGAGTCTTCCATTGATGTTTTTGGGTAAATATGACTTCCAGAAATGTGGATGCATATGTGGTCCATGTCAGTTCATTTACATAGCACCTTAAAAAGCAACAAAAGCTGACCAAAGAGCTTTATAGTTCAATCAAGGACGTCTGTCATTAAGAAAACAAAAGAGAAATACAGAAACACAATAAAACAAAACAACAAATAAAATAAAACAGCTCTAATTGAACTTCAAATCCTACCTCAGTCAAAAGCCAAAGAAACGAGATGGGTCCTGAGCAAAGATGTAAAAGCCTCAACATTCTCAGTGGACCGAATGTCAAGAGGTAAGATGCTCCACAGTTTTGGAGCAGCAATTATAAAAAAACGCAATCATCACTGGATTTCAATTTGGATCTCTGGACATCGAAGAGTAACTGGTTGGTGGAGTGTAGATGTTGCCAGACCATTAAAGACTTTAAAATCTTAAAATTAATTCGCAGGAGAACAGGAAGCCAACAAAGAGAAGCCAGGACCGAGGTTATGCATACATTATTATTATTATTATTATTATTTTTATTATTAATATTATCATTATTATTATTATTGTACCTGTTAAAAGACTAGCTGCTGCATTTTGGACAGCTTGTAAGCAATGCAGAGATCATTTATCCAAGCCAGCATACAAAATATTACAATAGTCTAAATGAGAGGTAATAAAATCATGAATCACTTTTTTCATGGCCTTTAGTGGGAAGATACCTCCTGGTACTTGCATGTGTTTGCCCTTTTGATGTTTGATTTTCTCAGTGATTTTGTTTTTAAAAAATGTATTATATCCATGTTTTAGATTTATATTTTAGTGAAAACAGTATATTTGAACGTTATGTGCCTGTTTTAGAACCAGCAGGACAACATGAGCAAGATATCAGGAATCAGCTCTGCTGCTTCTGTGCAAAAAGCTAATGTGAGTATGTTTGATTGACCAACATTTACATCTAAATCGGCCCCATTATTTTAATACTCTTACATTATCAGCATTTTTCTAGTGCTTAAATAGTAACAAATAGCAATAAATTCCTTTTACCTGGAATGTTAGGATATTTTGACCTCTGTTGCTTTGGTTTTAGTGTCTTCTCTTTATGGAATGTAATTTTAAATTTGCTGTAATATCCCTTTAAACACTTTATTTTTCATGTACAGGAAGCAAAGTCTCTGATTTCACAGAGATCATTCAATCCCAGAGATATATTTAAGCAGAGGGAGCAGAGCATGGAGAGCTCCAACAGCAGTTCCCCTACTGCATTCAGACCTGGTAAACAACACAACAAACAATAAACAACAAGTGATGGAAAGGATGGTTCATGCATTCATGTTTTCACCCTTAGGGAAGCTGCAGAGTTCGTTTCTGTCTCAGCAGTCATTTGAGAGAGAAATCCCGGTGAAACCTCAGAGTACGGCGTCATCTCCTGCTGCCAATCCATTCTTCACGAGACAGTCTACGGTCTTACCTGTCTCCCAGTCTCCGGTCTTACCTGTCTCCCAGTCTCCGGTCTTACCTGTCTCCCAGTCTCCGGTCTTACCTGTCTCCCAGTCT